ATCTATCTATCTATCTATCTATCTATCTATCTATCTATCTATCTATCATTATCTGTCTATCATTATCTATCCACGAAACACAAAAACAAAAACATAAACGCAAAATCCAAAAGTAAATCCGCCTCCTTATTTGAAACACTTGTTCCTACTTCTTTGTTTGCTTGTTTCCCGCTTGTTGCACTTGGCGCCACTTGTCTCCCACTTATCCCTGCCTACTCTGGATACACAGTTGGTTTCAAACATGCAAAAACTATTCGGGGCCAATGCTGGCACAATAAAACGAAAGCTCCCATGCGTAGAATGACGCGCCAGTAGCACGAACCTTCAGTATTCCCCATCCGGTGTGCCATTGTGCTGTTCGTTCGGCCCAGCACTCGGATTGATAATGCTGACAGTGATTGCGCCATTGTGTTTCTTGGGGGCAAGGCATGCCCATTCCCCGAACGCTTTGTTTGAAGTCAGGATCTTACAACGAACGTGGACACTTGCAATTTCAACCTTTTGCTCCATATTGTTCCTCCAACTGCCCATTCAAGAGTTTTGAAGTGATGCTTACCGACATGTTGTTTTTGTGTGTGGGTGTGTTCAAGAGATGTGTTGTTTTGATGGCTGTGATGAGTGGTTTGCATTAAATAGTGCCTCCATGGGTTTTTGACCTTGAGCGGTGCAAGCAGGACATGATGATGATGTTGATGATGATGGGGGTCCGTCGCCCCCTGTCATACATTTGTCCAAACCAAGTTTCGATTCCATTAGGGTTGTTGGGGGGTTCCCGGGTGGGCTTACTACCCGCCATACAAAACAACCAGGAAAAACACACGTTTTCCATCATTCTCCCTTGGGGGTTTGGCCAACGATAATATGATGCCCCCGCCTCCTTGCACACACTTTCCTTTGAACAAAATATGCCTTTTGAGGGCGGCCACCCTTTGTTGCCGATGGTGTTCCATGTTTCCCGAAGGTCTAGAAGATTAAGGACTTTCCTTTTAGAGTTGTGTGCGGCACACGGGCTCCGCATGCGGGGCGCCGGGCAAATTTTGAACGATGTTGAATGCACCTTTTGCGAACAGTGTGATTTGAACGTGCACATAACCAACGTTATTTGTACTTGTTCCTTCGTTGTTTTTGGAAACGCCGGTTTGTGTGATGTGAACTGGGGTGAGGGCGCGCCCACCTATACACATCCTCATGTGATCTCCATGTCAATATCCCCTATGAAATCACAGGGGTCCACCCCTACTATAAAACGTTTCATGGCCCCCCTGACGGGGGGGTGGGCCCTTGATTTTATAGTTCAATGCTGTTCATATGTCTTGGAAATTGTGATCAGAAGATTGCAGACACCGGGTTGCCCACTGTTTTTGTTTGGGCAGCCATGCATAGGTGTAATGGATTTATGGTGCTTGATGGCGCTTGGTTTGGACGTGAGGGTTTGTGATTTTATGGTTTTACAGTTTAGGTGGGGTACATGCAATAGCGGCATATTTTTTCGGGGGGGGCCGGGTTTGTGGCTGGAATTTGGGTTTGAATGGCTATGAGTGGTTTCATGATGTGTGTGTCTGTGACTGTGTGTTTGTTTTTTTGGTGGGGGCTGTACCCTGTCGCGTCTTCCTATCAAACAAACAATTTTGCTCATTGATATTTCTTTTGGTTGTCATGCCCCCAGCAGGGGTCCTTTCAAACTCTCCTTGTGTTGCGGGCCCGCCTGATTGATTGCTTTGGTGCCATTTGGTTGCTTTACTGATATATCAGACTTACGGGACTGAACACTGCTTCAGTGTGGGTCTGAGTGAAGGCCCTCGTGGTGGAGCGCACCAACATGTTTGAGTTGTCGAACCTAGTTGACCCGACCGCCGGCAGCAGTTGTGGCTTCAACTAAAACATTCAATGAACATTGTCCAGGCAGCAGGCCCGCACAAAAACAATTGGAACTGAACACTTCATATGCGCAAAGACTACGAGGCAGTTGTCCACCCTTCTAGCCCCAATCAGAGCACCATATAACCGTTAGGAACAGCCCGGCTGACTTCGTTAGGACTGGTTGGAATTTCACCAGTGGGTTGTGCTTTACTCATGTGCCAAAAGTAGTTGCATTTGTGTCACTTGATTTTTTGGACGATGGCCCTGCCCGTCACAGCGGCAAAGGATTTCATTTCAGGACCACGCGTCGCACAGGCGGAAAGGGAAAAGGGAAACCGAAGGCCACGGCGGCACGGGGTTGTTTGTCGTAGTCGGCCGCGCTGGACCTCTGGTGCTGTGACAGTGGGGGAAAAACAATGCAAATAGACAAATCAATTTGCAAAGAACGGTCGTGAATTTCAAGAAATTGCCAATACTTGGAAAGAACGATAGGCCCCCACAAAATTTCATATATAAACTGTAAACATATACTTCAGTTTTTGTTCAGCGATATTAACATTGTGGATAACCCTGCAAAGTGCGGTAGGCCCCTCAAAAACGTTTCACCTTGCTGAATCGTTCATTGATGGACAGCATGTTTTTGGCGGACGCTCATATGATGTCACAGCACTTCGTATTTTTTAAGTTTCATGTTGAAAGCTACGGCAACATGATATGCAATGCCAAGGCTGCCCGCAAACTTCTGGATTCGTGTCCCTTGCCGCAGCTTTGTGAGGCCGTTGTCAGCTCTTTTGATGTAATTAATCCTTTGGTCAGCGGGTTGCACGCATGACTGGGCCGAGCAAATTCGCCACGACCCACTACTTGTTGCAAAGGCCTTGGCCACCGCTTCAGCAGAGGATGCTGAGCCAAAATGCCCAGACCGTGTTTCAGAGCGCCACCAATAATCATTGTAAACGGTCCACGCAAGCACGTGCATTGCAAGGTGCCACTCAAAATGTGTAGTTTTGAGTTTTCTGTGGTACAGTATGGGTATTGCGACTCCCACTGCGTCACCATGGACATTCTTAATTCAATCGGCTGATGCCATGCTATATGCCAAGCTAAGGCCGTTGGTTTCCGCGTTGGAAGGGCTGAGCGAGATTGAAGAGGCCACTGCCTCATCCAGCTGCATTATGGCAGGCGTGAGTTATCATGTGTAGTCATTTGTTGTCAGCAGGTTGAGTGTTTTTTAGCATGTGTTGGTGTGTCATTATGTTCTGGCCCATCTAGCTGACATGCCACAAACCGTTCAATATTGAGGTGAGGGCCTTGTTCTTGGGCGATGGCGTTGCCGACTTTCTGACCAGGGGAGCTTCAGCAACAGAACCACGGGTTTGACTCTCAGCATGTCCGTGCCAGCTGTTGAAACGTCCATTTCGAGGTTGTATAGGAACCCCGTGCCTCGCAGTGTACTTTTTGCAGACTCCTAGGTTTGGGAATTTTATATACAAGTAAACAAGAACCACGTTGGCTGCTTGATTTTTGTTGAGAGAGTGTACTCTGTGAGAACGACAACGAAATCGTGACCTTAGTATTGCGTTTTCCGGAACAATGTTTTTCCACAGGGTTTTTGCACAACCTCAGTTGAAATTCTACTGAGAGGTTGTAGGGCCGGTTCCAATTTGTTTTCAGGTTTTCAATTGTTTTGGTTACATGCGGCGGGCGGTGCAAGTTCATGTCACTTTCGTTTCCAGATAGCATCAGATCCTGAACTTCTGTCAGGAAACGAAAGCACCAACCAGCAAATGTGCAACTACCCTTTGACAACATATGTATGAAAGAACAACTAATTACGCAACTACCAGGTCTTTGCAGCCACTGCCGGTGGCCCAGTGGCCGCTTTTCAAAACCAAAAGTTCCGCTCAGTTGCGGCTGACCGTGGCCAAGCTGCTGGCCCACTTGGCGTCAGGTGGAGAGGCCAGGGATAACTGAGGGTGTCCGTGAGCAAACTTATAAGATTTTGCTGCAAATTGTTCACCATAATGTGGCCAAATACGAGCAGCACAACGTAGAACAATGTAGAACAAGGGTTCCCATTACAAGCATAAATCGTCTCCAGAAACGGCGGGCATACACAAAACAGACCCGCATCTTAGACACTCTGGAGGAAACGGCAAGGCCTTGTTGTACAAAAACTATGGAATATAAATATGATCAGATTCTTTGCTGACAGCCGGCTTGCTACAAAGTTAAGTATAATGTTTGGATGGTGACACACAACCAAACAAAACACGAGTTCTCTCGACTTTGTGGGCAGTGTTTGATGAACTAGGTGGTTTGGCTACTTATGCACCTACCGTGCACTGTTGCAGGCCTCTGTGGGCAGGTTGCTTGATGCAGGCCTTTTCAACTTGTGTGGCACCCTCAGCACTGAGGGCTATTGAGAGGCACCCACCCAATATGGTAAGGAGGGCCGTTGGACCATTTTGGTCATTGAACCAGGGCAGCATCAGCATCGGCTGGAAATTGTCCATGTCCATGAAACACCGTGGAAACGATGTTGTTTGGGTCAGCTGCTCAGGTGAACCCTTACTGTTGGATGAAGAGACGGGTGTAGCTGAGACGGCAGCCAAGGCAGCACAAAACTCAGATGTTCAGGGTTTTATGATGCTTTATGCAAGGGGAATCTAAGGTTTTAAGAATGTTATCAGTGATCAGTGATGAATATCAAATGTTACCTTGGCTATATGAGTCTCAAAGGTCCGTGCTGGAGTTGCAGTCCCTCCCGGGCAGCAGGCTCTGTGGATTATGACATACTAGAGACCTTTACATCCAAGCGTTGGACAAATCGCGAAAGGTAGCTTGAGCTACCTGAGTTCTCCTTGCTTTAGCAAAAATGTATTACAATCAGGAGTTGGGATTGTGCATTGAATTTGGTCCTGTAAGAGTTGATTCTGTTCGTCGGGGGGGGGGGGCCCTGGATCAAATCCCCCCTGCGCCGGTTCACGCCGTCATGGACTTTTACCAGGGTTGCTTGTGATTGCCTGCTGCCTTTCGTTCACCCCCTCCTCTCTCAAGTTATGACCGACAATGATGTGAACATATGTGAACCATCAAATCAGTGACTTTGAAGATTTTAAAGCTCCTGCCTGTTGTGCCAGGCGCTTGTTGCCTCTTCTGGAAGCTTGACGGCCAGCTTTGCGACTTTTTCTCCAGTGGTGCAGGGATCAGGGACCGGACCACAGAAATAGTATGAACTTAAAATACTAGAGCATCATAGAGCATGCAGAGGGCGACTATAGTCCTAAACCTTCGAGATGTCAAGATTGATTTAATGATCTTCTTTGACAGGAAGTATTGCTTCGACGTCTCCCTGAGTTGCCTGATGCGGGAGCCCCGGTGCTGAGCACTCTGGGGTTTGGAAAACAATTTGGATTAATTTAATGCGACCTTGGTTGCGTTTCCGTGTAAATATGTGTCAGCTCTAGGTGCAACGGATCCGCGTTTTGGCTCTTTTCGTCCAGCTTGGCCGAGTCGCAGAGATCTTCCCATTGCCACTTGGCCGGGTTTTGAGTTCGAAGGGCCGCCAGGTGAGTTGAATTGGACAACGGGTGAAAAGGGTCAAGCAAGATGAGCTAAGTGGCTCTTGTGCAGGTCGGCTCGTTAAGCAAAGAAGAATGTCGCAAGGTTCATATTCTAATATTATATCAACAGGTTTTTGCATGGTTGTTTGGGTTTAGAAGACTTCAGAGCTCTTTGTGCTAGCAGATGGCAGCAAAGCAATCTCCTTGCAGGCTCTGATAGGGCAATACCGGACTGTACATTCAAAAGGCCGCCATGAGACATTGTGATTACTGTAAATCGGGCACCTAAAGCCTGTGACATCTTGTGACAAGATAAGGTTGGAGCAGCAAGGGGCATTCGAGAAGGCCAAAATCTGTGTCAGATATTTGCAGTTTTGATGGCAGCCGTCAGATATTTGCAGTTTTGATGGCAGCCGGTTTCTAGATGGGATCACGAAAGCGAGCTCAGCGGAAGTTGTTGTTACGAAATGTGGTGAGGCTAAAGATTGAAAGGTTCAGTGAACCAATTGATTCTTTCAATCAAAGGGAGGGGTCATCCGAGGTGGGGGGGCCCCCCTCCCCTCCCTTTTTATTGATTCTTTCAAATACCACCCCCTCCCTCGCAAAAGAATTGATATGTCAATTGAAAGATTGAAACGTCTAAGGGCCCCCCCTGCAAAAAGAATTGAAATGGACACGACATCACAAACATCCCCAGGGGATTTTTAAGGTGTTCTCACATTCGTCGTTGCCATCGCTTTCGTTCCCCGCCTCTCAAGTCATTGTTGTTGACACCTTGTCAACCCGTTGAGTTTACAAGTTTACCAGCATTTGTGCTTCTCCACATTGGGCGCGCTCACAGTGGCGGATGGCTTGACTGTCAGTCCCGTAGGCAGATAGAGAGAGAGAGAGAGAGTGCAAATACCGGCAAGTCGTGAACACAAGGTCACAAGGTCTTGAGCAAACACATGTGCGCACAAGGACAGAGATATACAGAGATATGATACACACACATATATATATATTTATACACACATATTTATATATATAGCGATATGTGTATATATACACAATAGTAGAATAAGACTATTCGGGTGTTACACACATATTTATATATATAGCGATATGTATATATATATACACAATAGTAGAATAAGACTATTCGGGTGTAGCAGCAGCAGCAGGAGTAGAAGTAGTAGTAGTAGTAGCAGCGGCAGTAGTGTTAGTATTAGTAGTATTAGTATATACATAGTAGTGTGTTTGTTGCCGCTCCCGCACGTATTTTATGAAAAGGTGCTGGGTTCCTTCTTGACTGACGACCTGCTGTTGAAGCTTAATGCTGTTGAGCTCATGGATGCGCTGGGGCCACAGATACTGTAGTTTCACGACACATTTGGTTTGCTTCGTGGCGCATTGTCGCTGGCTTCATAAACCGCAGAACCGAAGAGCAGGGTCAAACAACGCAATGGGGAGGGGGGAGGTTCCCCGCATGGTCTATGAGGTCGGGACATTTTTCACAATGTTTCGTGGCCAGCTTTGGCTCAAGATTCCGGTCGAGCCGAGCAACGATGAACTCGCCTCTATCTAGCAGCGACTCCGTATGGCGAAGCATGGCGGTGAAAAGCGATACAGGACTAGAGCTAAGATCCGAGTCTGATCTCTACATGAAAGGCCTGGCAGCTCTCCAATCCGTGTTCCAAGCTACTAGATGTTTATAGTCATAGTTCTAATATTGTCTTATGTTACTTATGTTAAATGATCTTATATAAGTATGACATGATGGAATCATCATTATGAAAGCACATTTGAGAATGGTGATGAGCTCTTCATAGAGGTCGTTATCAAGCATGCTTGGAAGTTTGGCGTCCCCAGGCAAGATCAGCCGCCTGAAGGAGTTCTATTTACGCAGGCTTTCGCAAAGCGATACTGCTGCAGTTGCACGGCTCCGGGCAAGGTCACCAAGGTCAAACTTGGGGAGCCCCCGCCAGCTGAGTCCAAGACAGACGCCCAGGACGGGTCTCAACGAGACACTAATTGAAACACACTAAAGGCAGTTGAACCTCCAATTCGCAAAGAAACCAATTGGCAGGAGCTTGGATGCTGAACTTACCGAGGCAATCTACGAGAAACAGACGAACAGCAACAGCAAGGTTGGCTGACATGAGTTTCTCTGGACCGGGCTTTGTCAGAGTGAAATGGCAAGAGACATGCAATCCAATATGCTTCAGTTTCAGACTGTGAGTCGAGTTCAACGCCGCATCAGTGTTGGGTGCCGCAGAGCCATTTTACTGGGAATGTGCCATGCGCTATTTGTTCAATAATGGTCGATTGTTAAGACAATTTTTAGCTGTTTTGTGATGCAAAGCAGAGGCAATTTTGGGGTGACTTGAGCTGAGCATTAGCAGAGGCAAGTTCAAGGGCCCACGGTACAGGTGAAGCCTTCTACGTAAGCAGCTAAGATTGCTGCCATTGCCATCTCGTCCACTCTTGCTGCTGTGGAAGTGTTGCAGCCTTGCAGACACCCTCAAGTACAGAGTAGTCCAGTTATTGGTGCCCAAAACTAAGACCCTGGTGTCCGGGTGTTGCTCAAGGATTTTCTTGGGGCACAAGATCAATAGATGTGATCAAATGTAGCTTGACATACTGTAGAGTATACAAATTAATCATAATGTGCATTGGTGTGATGTGCAAGCCACTGACAGTGGGCAGAAATTAGACAGACCAAGGAACACGCATTACATATCCACTTTGTTTTGAAAACAACAGCCCTTCACTTCACGCCAGGCGGCTTTGTCGCCTGCTACCATGGAGAAGCTGGGGTGGCATGATCGCAAGATGGCACAATCAGACATAGTAATATGCATCAGACGCCATGCCAAACCTTAATGTTGGCATGATGCTGGGCATTGAACTCAGGTCAAAAGTAGGGCCGCACATTGAAATGCTTAATGCCAAGCTCATCAGCTTGCGTGCAGCTCTGGAGAGCAGGACAGTGTGCTGTAAGTAAGTGTAAGTTTGTGCTTGATAGACTCAGACATTGAGCGGCCAGTCGGGATCGCAGCAACAATTTATATTTGCACAAGGCAGTTTAATATCGGAGGGGTGGACTCTCGCCATACAGCAGGATGAGTATGACCTGGGTTTTGTCATTAACATTGTCAGGATCCTGGATGGAAGCAGTCAGAGCAATGTATTGCGGCATTTGACCCAGCTGAGGCCGTCACCGGATTGGAAAACATACAATAAGGGAAGCTCACAGATTTTGGCAGGGTTTTGTTGGACCAGAGGTCACTATTCATTGGATAGCAGGATCTTGCCAACATGCCACAAGCAATATATAACTGTAGTTGGTTATATCCTATTTGAGAAATGATCAGCTGGAGGGTGGTGTCCTCATGGTGCTTATTTGATTTTATTTGATTAGCTGTCACACCAATTCAGCAGTATTTATGCTGGAAACAGTTTTTGCGTTGCTGCTGCGACTGGCATGCGACAAACATATCCCTGCTTCTTGGTCTCGCACAGGTATCACCTGGATAATGCATTGAAGTGGGCGCCTGATGCCGCCTTTTCTGGGCCTGCCATTGAACACACAATTCAGCAGGCTTGCTTTAGCAAATCATGTCATGTCAGCGTCGCGGGTATTCCTTCCCACGGTTGCAGGTTCAGCAACTCGCAAGCACAGCTCGTGTGCTTGCACCTGGGGTGTATGTGTTCTCCAAGCGCACGGAGCACATTCTGATCCGGAAGGACAAGTTTGCTAACCAACTGACCCGCAGAAGCTCTTGCAAAGGAATGAACACCGAAAAACACCTGCTTCTGAAAGGGTATCGCAAACACCGAAAGCCAACGTCCCTCAACTGCAAGGAGCGCGCTTTGAAGAAGGCAGCGCAAATTCTTTATGAAGACTATCGAAAGCCCCCGTCATATTCAGAAGCTTTGCCAAAGCGGTAGGAGACTCTAACCGCTTCAGCGAGTTGGGTTCGATGAGATACGCTTGTTGGTTCATTCATGCTCATTCACTCACCATGCGGGCAAAATTGCTTCACACCATTTTGTTTTATTAATTTAGTCTTCCAACTTGACGGACTTTTGCTTAGTGCATGCTGGCCTTAGCCTCGCGGTTGCTGCATCTCCCGTTTGGCTTGCCAAGGATATATTGAAAGGCGACATCAGGATACCCACTTCTAGGACCAGCAAGGCAGAATCCACAGTGGTCAGCGAATTTGATTCTGAATGTGGTACGATGTATGCGGACACAGTGATCACTTGGGATAGCCCCGCTGATGTTGGAAATGTGCCTTGGACAAATACAATACATGTGGACCGATGCGGAGCAGATGCAAGCCCCATGTTCTAATTCTCATTTGTTGCTTGAATTTTGGCTACTGTAACTGCAACCGGTAATGCTTGCCAAGGTGCAGGACGTTAACGAATACTTGGCGTTGAAGAGTGAGGAGAAGCTGTGCAGACGGGTTTGCTTGATGATCTTGATGTTGTTTGCACAAATGATTGCTGTCCCTTGCACGGTGATTTATACAATCAGATTGAAAGTCCAACCCTCCTTCGCTATACCTCTTGGCTATAGGGGGCAGATGGCAAATGACGTGTGTTTTGAGGACCAGCAACGTCGCTGGTTTTACTCTCAGTGCTTGGCTGCAAAGATGGCAGCTGCTGATAAAGCCCGAGCGCGGAAGATTCTCATCTCTGACTTGTACTCCAAGGTCAAGGCGAAAAGAACATTTTGGGAAAGACAGCAGCCAGATGGTAACTGGTTGCCTTCAAACAACACATTCTGTTTGAGTCTCCGGGTTCTTCCACTTGAAGTTGACATATTGGACACCTAAACTCGAAATGCTGTTCTCCAACTGAACAGCGAAGCAGCCACTCCTTTTGCTGGCAAAGAACCAACAATTCACAATTCACAATGGGAAAGCTATACAATTCACAATGGCCATGGGAAAGTCACTTAGTAAGAGTGCTCCTAGTAGCGATGCCTGGAGCCCCTAGTAGCGTCCTTGCTCCTAGTAGTATGGCCAGGAGCCCCTAATAGCTTCTTGTTACTAGTAAGAATGCTTGCAAGCATCCATGATTGAACCTGTGACTTGGGGATGCCCTTTTTTAGCACCCTTTTGCCAACACCTGCATACATTTTCTCAGACATTCTCAGACACTATATAGAGCACGTCATTCAAACTTTGTTCGTGTGCCTGTGCGGTTATACCTGCCAATCTGTTGAGATGTTCATATCTTTGCACATTCCTGGTCATCGTTCCCGTTTGCAGGCCGATGGTCTTCCAATCACCAATTGGATGATGTTCATTCAAGAACAGCTAATGGTTGGCCAACTGTCTCCTGCAGCTGTGAGTTGCGTTCATTGAGTGTTTACTGCTGCGCTCATGCCAGACTCTTTGTGTTTTGGCCTGCAAGCTTAATTAATTAGCTCGAGCTGATCACAAATAACAGCCTTTAGGTTTGCCGTGGAACTGACTTACATTTCCGGTCCGCAGAGATCCTTACTGCTGAGATTACCCGATGCTGCGCAGAAGTCAAGCAAAAGATCCGGGACTTGTTTCGCATCCTTGCTACCCAAAGCATTTTGAGTGATCAACCACAAAGTGTGTGAATGCAATTCTTTGAGGCTTGGATCCTACGAGCTTGGTCAGGAGCCGTTCAAATCGATTGTGCGACGATGTTGCGCAGCATGGCGCACTCCTTCTGCTGCTCGATGACAGATGTTTCTTGCTTTGGTGGGGATGTGACTGGAAACCTGACATGCCCAGGCAGATCCCAGTTTTGCATAGTTTTGCACCATCACGAAGGGGAGGTGATGAAGTGGTGGTTTGCCAATGTTTGTTCCCTGTCCTACCCCTTCCTTCTTTACTCCCAATCAGCCGAGCCCATCCAAAGTCTAGCAACTTGCGACGACTGCCAGGAGTTCCTGGCACGGTCCAATGTTCCGCAGAAGCTCGAGGCTGACTTGCTGGACCCATACTGCGCCTCAAATGCACAGGGGCATCGGCAAATAAAGAAGACATAAGAAGACTATATAAGGAAGTCGTGCGAATCTTAGACACTTTTTGTAGAGAAGCTTGGACACCTGGACTTTGACACCCAGCGAGCCCACTCTCGATGAAGGTTTGTAGCTGCATGTCCAACGCATTGTGAAACAAAGGGCATCGCTACTAGGAGAAAGGACGCTACTAGTAGCTCCTGGCCTTACTACTAGGAACAAGAAGCTACTAGTAGCATTCCCCCTCTAAATAAAGAAGATCCGCCGAGGTGATGGCTCTGTGCGACTTTGCGTCACGAGACTTCTTGGCTTCATTGCAGGTTGGGGAGCTTGGAAAGCTCCGCGAGCTGTGACAGATAACTGTGAGGTGAGGTTTGCAGGTAAGATCAAGTAAACTACGTATATTTAGGTTAAGGAGGTACACCACTAAGCTCAAGTAGCTTCTTAGGCATGGACGCAGAATAGGGCTCGGTCGGGCTTAGTTGGTTTCTATATTGGTGGGGAAACTTAACAACAGAGCATGTGTTTGTGTTGAACTCTTGGCAATATTGCTGAGTGACCCAATGCACAAAGCCATCAGCATGAACTTCTCAGGCCGCAGTGCAGCCGCTGCGGAGCAGCTATTGCGTAGCCATGAGGTGCAGTTTTGCCCTCCACACAAAGAGTCAAGAGTGTGGCCCACAATCCTACCTACTCTTATTGCCTCAGTGGCCACATTTGGACAATGCATGGGCTTGAGCCACCACTGACTGGCAAAGACAGGGAGATGTTGACTATGCATTGTGCGCATTTCTACGCCATTTGGATTTGTGAATGGGATCGCTTGGAGGCCCCTTTTCCGCAGTCCATTGCTGGCTTGCTCGACAGCTTGCGACCAAGGGTTTGTTCTGCGTTTGAATTCTGATTGTGTCAGGGCCTAGTGCCTTTGTGCAATTTGTGCACCTCATTTTGTATGATCCTAAGCGCTCCTGCAGCCCTGGGAAAGTAGATTTGTGCGACCCCAGATGTCTAGGACGGCGGTCCCTGAAGGCCATAACGGAGGTAGGGGATGGAACACAGGAGAAAGAAGGAAAGACAATGACAACGATGATTCTAAGGATGATACTGGTTGAAACATGTCAGAGGAAGATGACCAAATTAAGAGGATACGGGGTGAGAAGAAGGTGGAGACGAGCGGGCAGCTTGGACCGGCCAAGAGACAGCAGCTCCAACAAAAGAAATTGTGTGTATGCTATTGTATGTTTGATATTCTACGTAATATATGTATTAGTCTTCCTATATGTAGTATATGTGCATACATGATATTATATGAGTACTTATACGTTTATGATCATGTATGCGTGCTTTTTTGGTACTGTAGGGTCCTGATTAGTAAAAGGGGGTCCTACCCCCCCTCTTAAAAAAGGATCCTCTATAGTAAATTGGCGCCAAAGCACATCTGGGTTCCTGGGAGGATTCCTTTTGTAATTGATTGTAGATGTTGTAGTATTCCTTTCTCAGGTTCTTTGTAATTAGATATTTTCGGCAATCTTGTTATACTACTAAGAGGAGGGCAAAGAAGGTTCTCAGGTTCTTTGCGCCTGCGAAGAAGAACCAGAGAAATCTATACTGACCAATACTCTCAGCAAGCTAGCCATTGGCTTAGTAGTATTGACAGATCTCCGAACGGATTTTAAACCCTAATATTTTTTCTGGTAAAAATTGGATCAAGAAACATTAAGCATAATAGAGGGCCCTTAACATAACCTGGGGTTCAGAATCAATTTTACAAAATTGCATTATAGAGGACCCTTTTACTAATCAGGATCCAACATTAGCTATTTATGCAGATGCGTTGCTCATCCGATCCAAGAAGTTTTTGCCTGGAGGCCGTGATGTTGCAGCCAGGCTGTGTGCCATCCATGCCTGGGCAACCAGCTGAGAGTGCAGCAGGTAGAGAACGGAAGCTAGAGCCAGAGCAGGTACTTTGACCCGTGATTCTCTAGTTCCTCGATGTTCTCGACTCTCAGAATCCTTTTGAGATTTGTTTTTCTTTGCCTTTTGTTGCGTGAAGTGGTGGGGAGCACTGAGGCAACAGCAATGTTGCAGACGAAAGGCCTTGGATTCTTCTTGCGGCCAGACGCTTGGCACGTCCTGCTCTCCAGGTTTGTAATCTGGATTGTGGCAATATTGTTAATGACAGAATGCCAAAATGCCACGGGAGTTTTGACTTGAGGTGGAAACCCATGCTGCAGGCCTTGAAGCATTTTGTTCGGGGTCGAACCACTTGTCTGCCAGATGAGTTAGGGCCAAGATGTGTGCACAGACAATGAGGGATGGCTTATAGCATCGATCATGCTTTGCGAGGAGATGGTGTCACTGATCAGTGCAACCCAGAATGAGATTGCAAAAGGTGCGATGGATGCTTGGGCCATTGTTTTGGAGGTCCGGGGCATGGCCTGGCTTCAAACAGGTTGAGCCCAACCAAGCACAGTTCCCGCGTGCTTTGCTTCAAGCGACCTTGCCTTGTGCCAGGTTAGAGCACCAGAAGATCAAGATGCCACTTGCTTAGATTGTCGATGTGAGGAGCAGAGCCAGCTTGGGATGCGATTCAGTTGTAGCAGAGGCCACAAACAGTCGCAGCTGATTTTCACAAGCCAATTATTTTCTGTTTGGGCTAGGAGAGGGTGCATGCTCCACAGATGCTTTCTTTTGAATCGATGTGTGGTTGTTTGCTGATCTATTCTGCTGGCATACTGGCTGAAGGCACAGCCTCATAGTGGCCAGGTTGAGCTCCACAGCGGCTCTTTAGCCATGGGGTTCACTAAAGCCGTGGCCAAAGAGGCTCCGGAGAGTTACAAACAGTATTACTTGCCCTTCGGCCATATGAGGTTGGTGGGATGAGGATGATGAGGTTGCATATGAATTGGCAGCCTCCATCCTCTCATCGCTCTCATTTCATTTGCGATATGCATCGGATATGCAGCCGCCCTTTTCCTTCCTTGCTTCAAACATTCGGAGTAATTGTCCTTTCCAGTGTAAATATCCTTTCCATTTGCCATGATGCATTTGCCCCCTCTCGTTTGTGCACTCGAATTCTCCAAGGAAATATGACGAGTTGAAAGAACTTGTTGCCACGCTGGCCCGACAAGAGCCAGAGAGAAGGAGCCGGCTAATGACGCTTGGGTGGTGAAATGGCAACTTGCTCTTAGCAACTAATGGCTGCCATGGCCAATCGCAGCAACATTTATTGTAATGGTTCATATGTGGTCCTTGGTCCAAGCTTCGGAAGAAAGACCGGTCCATTAGCACAGCAAAATGGACCAGCAGCCTCTTGCACACTTTGATCACCGCTCTCACGGAATGCCCCCGCTTTCCAACTAGCAATTCTGGGTGATTCTCCTGGAGTTGTGAGCGGATGGTTGTAGCAACCTGATGATTTGGAAGAAATCTGATCAAAACCCATGAAACATCTCATTCCATCCTTGACCTACTTGGATGAGCAAGAAGCATGAACATCTGCAGCATCTACATATGCACACAAAATCCTTTGCCCTTCAGAGGAAGGCTTGGCTACACCAGCGGAAGGTGGAAGGCGGTAGAGCTGAGGTCGGCAGACTTCATGGAGATGCCCAACCAGCCGATTGGCCAATTTCAAGAAATTCTTCGTGCAGAGCTGAAGAAGGTGAATCAGTTTGCCTGCGCATCCTGGCTACCCTGTCATTGCATCTCATGGCTATCATAGCCAACCTTGCCTCCACGAGCTCTCGACTTTGTCTCCGGGAGTTACGGCTGGATACTGTATACAGTAGAAAAGGTTGTATATAATGTATTATACAGTATACATATTTGGATGGTTAAGGCTCTTTAAGCTGAGCAGGACTTGCACAAGTTCTAAAGTGGTTGAAGAAAGACGCCTGAGCAATGACCACTTTTGCAACGGCATCGAACATTTCCCCACGCCCCACGCAAGAGAATTTGATGTGGGGTGACCGTTAGGTCGATTCAGTGTCGGGCCGGCGCATTTTTGCGTGCTACCTTATCACCTGCCAAGGTGAAGCATGAAGATGTGTTCTTGGGCTTGCGAAGACTGTGTGCATCATGCAAGCGGCTTTCCCCAGAAGTTTCTTGGTGATTGTAGCAGCTTTTCGCTGGTGAAATGATGCCAGTTCATGCCGGTTCTTGGAGCCAGGGCATCGCTACTAGGGGCTCCTGGCACACTCTTACTAGGAATAAGAGGACGCCCATTCAGCGTCCTTGCTCCTAGTAGCGATGCCAGGAGCCCCTAGTAGCGTCC